ACTTTAAAAAGAATGGATGACATCGGAACCGTTAATTCGAAGCCTCGTTCTGGTCAGCCACCCTTAATTAAAGATTCAAGGTGAAACCGGCTTAAGCGAATTGTCACCAACGATAAAGAAAAAAATCGTCACTTATGCACTGCAGAAGTACAACAGCTCTGGCAAAAAAAGACTGCCAAGATGTTTCAACTCGCACTATTGGTCGGACACTTTGTGCAGCTGGATTAAACAATTGTTTTGCTCGACAAAAGCCTTTAATCACACCAGCAAATGTTGAAACACGTCTTGCATGATATTTGGAATACCAAAGTTAGATAAAGGAAGATTGGTCAAAGGTCATGTGGAGTGACGAATCTACCTTTTCACAATTCCAACAAAGCCGTTGCAACCGAGTTTGGCGTGAACCTCATGAAAAATGGAACATTTCTTGTGTTTCCGTCACAGTTAAATACAGCCCTAGCCGAATGTTTTGGGGTGCTTTTCAAGACAAGGCTTAGGACTGATTGTTCCATTATCTGAAAAGTCACCGGTGCTACACATGTTACCATTCTTCGCAAGCGTGTCATGCCAACTATGAGGCGTGCATTTCCAAACCATGATGGAATATTCTAAGAGGATAATGCTCGCCCTCACAAAATGAAACTTGCAAAGAAGTTTCATGCAGAAAATGGTCTGCGCGTACTTTCATGGCCCGCCCAAAGTCCAGATCTCAATCCTATTGAGAATTTATAGGCCGAAGTTAAGAAAAGCATTCGTGAACAGAAAAATTTGCCTTCCAACCTTGCTCAACTCGATCGGCATGTTATAAGGGCATGGAAACAAATTCCAATACAAACTATCGAAAATTTGGTCGATAGTATGCCGCAGCGAATTCGGGTTGTGATTGAAGCAAATGGAGGCCTGACAAAGTACTAATTATTTAGTACCAAATGTATAGCATATCATACTTTAATAAATATATTAATAATTTTTTTTAATAAAAATTAAAAATTTTAAGTTTTAAATTAAGCCAAAAATCGTGCGGAGACTTTTGGCGGGGGTCTGTATAACTTGAGTTGAGTTGAGTTAGAATTTTAAAATTTTTGACTTGACTAGACTTGACTTAAATTTTTTGAGTTGAGTTGAGTTATCTTTAAATTTGACTTAACTCAACTCATTAGAAACTCTATATTGAACACTTGATCTTTTATCAAGAATTAATGTGTTAACTGGTAAAAGAAGAGTCTGTTTGGTGATCTAAGTTTTTTGAAGGAATGGTAAAAGTTGTTTCAATATTCATATGTTCTGAGCTATTTTGTAATTATTTTGTTGTTGTTTAGTATTGTTAGTATCATTGTCAAGTTTTCTCTTTTAGGTGATGATGGTGATGTTTTTTCAGACTTTTGCAAGTCAGAATAGTTGCATTGATTTTTTTTTTATTGTTTTTTGAAAAGCATTTTTTATTTTCTAATTTTTCAGAAAATTTTGGGGAGAGATTTTTTTTTTTTATTTATTTATACAAGTCTTTTTACTCTATTTATAACAAAAATTCAAGTTATAGAAATTTGCAAGATACCCGGGGTACTATGGCCAGCAATATACGGTAATAATTTCAATAATTATATTTTTATAAAGCTATAATTTATAAAATAAAAACTCTTATATACGTAATAATATTTTTAAATTTTTAATAAATATATATTTTTTTATTTTTTTTAATTTAATATTAATAATTAATGAGTAAACATTGCTAATTAACTAATTATTATTACTTAAAATATTATGAATTTTATTTAAATATCTGATAATGTATTTAAATAATGTTACTGAATATACAGGAAGGAATTTTCCGACCATCATAAATATTTCAAAAATCCTAACCATTATATTAAATCAATCACGTGAATTGCTGATGAAGTGAAAATAGAGATTTTCTAATGATAAATCTCAACACGTTTTCCTGGTTGCCAATTTATAATCGCATCTCTTATATTATACCAATATTGTAGTTTCACAGTTAATTCTTTTGCTGTAGTAAAATCATTCGATTTAAACGCTTGTGATAATTCTGTTACAATTTTATTGATTTTTCCTGGAATATCATATCAAGAAAAATCAGTAAATTTGAAAATTGAAAATGGGTAAAAACCGTCCATTTATTTACCTTCACTTTCACTTTTAATTCCTTTAACATCATTTTCATTTGTAACATCTTCTAATTGCTCTCTAACATCCAAAATTTCCATTAATAATTCTGGATCTTGTAAGGACTCAGATTCACTTATTGATACATTATTTAATTGAAGCTATGATGAATTTCAAAGTGTAAATTTTAAGCGTATTGAAAATAAAAGTAAGTAAAAAAAGAGTGTTTACAATACCATATATTTGGCTCTCAAAAGAGGATCTCGTAATACTTGATAAGCTTTATTAATTAAAGAAGATTGTTGTTGCGCATAATTATATTCATTCTTTTTTTTTTAGAAAAAAAATGTTTTAGTTACTAAAAGAAAAGATATATATATTGATGATAATTTCTTTATATAAGAGAAAAGAACTTACTCGATCTTTTGTACTATAACTATCAGGATGTACAAGTTGTTGAAGTAACAAAAAATTTTTTCGTAATTGACCAGAATCAATATTATACGATGGTTGAAAGCTATATATATTTAGAAGAGTAAAGTTAATCGACATGTCTCAATAAATATAATCTTTAGGAAAAAACTTACCGTCCATCAATTTTAATTCCTAATATTTCAAAATAAGTAACATCGTTAGGAAACACCTTCTGTATAACACCACAATCTTCTTTTTTACAATGAAAGGAAAGGTAATCTATTTCTGAATCACATTTCCAACAATTTCGATGAACTTTTGGTATATCATGATAATATTTTAACAATGAAAATTTATAAATATTATTTTGTTTTAATGAATTCCTTGAAAAAACACGTCCATCAAATAATGATTTAAATAAAATTTTAGAGGTTATTCTACTTTTAGAAATAATAACGAAATTATTTCTAAATTTTTGAAATGCACGAATTTTTAAAGTATAGTTAGTAAGAGATTTAAACATTTGAAAAAAAAAAAGGAACAATCAAAGATCGTAATCAATGCATTATGTATAAATAAAAAAACGATTAAAGAACTGCGGGCTAATTTGTCACTCATAAAAAAGGGTTAAGAAATTAATCAAGAAAATGATGTCTACATAATTAGTAATTATTAAAGTAAAATGAAGTCATCGATGAGCCTCACACTTTATATCGCGTTTCTGAATAAAAAGATTTTTTGATTTAAAAAATTATACTAGTCACGTGCCTTAAGTGAACAACAATGAAACAATGAAACTTGTGATATTTCTTTTTTTCCATTTTTTCAAACAAAAAAAAAAATCAAAAGTTTTGTCGCGCATTCTTTTCACAGATTGAGTAACAGTAACACAATTTTAATTTTTTTCAATAAAACAATCTTGCTATTATGCTTTACTGCTTATTTGTACGACCATAATAGTAACATCACATGAAGCAATCGAAGCATTTAAGAACATCCATTGTGATAGTTTCGAGACGATAGTGGTTTGTTTAAATTCTGACATTTTATTTGAATTTTTTGGCTCAAGTTATAGCTCATAAATCATAACTGACACAATGTCAGAAGGAGAAAACCCAGCTGTTACGCGTTTTAGAGATTATTTACGTATCAAAACTGTTCAACCTAACCCAGACTATGAGTCTTGTAAAAATTGGCTTTTAGACCAAGCAAAAGAAATAGGCTTATCCTCGCAAGTTTTAGAGGTATATCACTTAATTGATAATAAATTTTATTTATTGATTTCACTCGTAGTTAAGACTTATTTTTTTTCATAGTACGTTAAAGGAAAACCAATAGTTCTATTGACCTGGATTGGTCGTGACCCACAATTACCTGCTATACTTTTGAATTCTCATACTGATGTAGTTCCAGTTTTTGAGGTTCACAATTTTTTATCATTCTAATAGTTGTTCTTTTACGAAATGATATATATTTTTTTACTTATTATACTTGTTTATTTGAAAATTTAGGAAAAATGGTCGTATGATCCATTTGAAGCTTTTAAAAACGAAAATGGTGATATTTTTGCAAGAGGTGCACAAGATATGAAATGTGTTGGAGCAAGTTATCTTGAAGCAATTAGATGTCTTAAAGATCAAGATAAACAACCATGTCGAACAATTCATCTTTCTTATGTGCCTGGTAAATATAAAAATATTATATATTTATTATATTACTTTGTTCTTATTTGGTTAAAATAATGGATTACTTGAAATATACATAATGTATATAATATATATATATTTAGATGAGGAAATTGGAGGTTGTGATGGAATGAAACTTTTTGTCAAATCAGATGATTTCAAAAAGTTAAATATTGGATTTGCTTTAGATGAGGGAATTTCATGTTCTCATAATGCTTTAAAAGTATTTTATGGTGAAAGAGCTCCATGGTGGATTAACGTTACAACTAAAGGTAACACAGGACATGGTTCACAATTTATTCATAATACTGCTGTATCCAAATTGGTAAATAAAAATAAGTTATTTCTTAATAAAAAAAAAGGCGAAAGAAATATAATTTAATTTAATTCTTTTTTTTTTTTGATGTAATAGCATCGTATTATCAATAGATTTATGGAATTTCGTGAATCCCAAGAAAGACAATTAGAAATTGGAAGACATAAGGATGGAAGAAAGTATACACTTGGAGATGTAACAACTATCAATCTTACTAAACTGGAAGTAAGTAAACAATATTTGTACAAAACATTTTTTTATACACCAAAATTAATAATTTCCTATTTACATTAGGCAGGTGTTCAGCATAATGTAATTCCACAAGAGGCAAAAGCAGGTTTTGATGTTCGCATATCACCAAATGTTGACTTAAAAGAATTTAAAGAATTATTAGAGAACTTTGTGCATTCTGAACCTGAGTAAGTAACGAATTATATTTATAATAAATCAGATTTCTAAGACATGTAAATAATAATATATCTTTATATATAGTACTACATTAGAATATGCTCAATATCACGGTGATAACAGTTGTACTTCACTCGATGATGATAATGTTTGGTGGGTGACATTTCGTGATTTTTGTGATGTAAGGTTAGTAACAAAAAAAAATTCTTTTCTTCTGGTTTGAAATTAAATTTTCATACATTAATAATACTTATAAATCACATAGGAACATTTCCATTGAACCAGAAATTTTCCCTGCTGCTACGGATTCACGTTATCTTCGTGAACGAGGTATTCCAGCTTTAGGTGTATCTTACATTAAAAATACTCCTATATTATTACATGATCATAATGAACGCATAAATGAAAATCTGTTTCTTGAAGGTATTGACTTTTATACAGATTTAATTACTCATTTGGCAAACATTCAAACTATTTAATTAAGGTTATTATATATATATTTGTGACCTTTATGTTCGAAATTGTAAGTTATTTAATGAATTTTTTTTTTTTTATTTTTTTTTTAAAAAAAAATTGCTATATATGTGATGGGAATGTTAAATAAACTCATTTTTTTGATGAGATTTTTTTTTGTGAAACATACTGTATATATATATAACGTTAAAGAGACGAGGGATGTAAGATTTAGTCGTTCATTAAATAAATTTTTATTGAATTGTTTGAATTTTTTTAAATAGATAAAGATAAATATAAATATTCTTAAAAAAAAAAAATTATAAATAAAATAAAATTTCAAGCCGAAGAATTCAATTTATTAATATTACTATAATTGAATAATACATAGTCAAAACCTCTAAATTAAAAATTTGAAAAATATGCATCTAATGTGAATGTGCATTTAAAGAGAAAATTCTATATGATATCTATATGGTTGGGATTAGATGAGAATGTATATTTAGAGAGAAAATATATAGTATATACATTTATTTTTTTATATTGGTTAAAATAAATAATATTATAAAATTAAAATATATCAATTAAATTATTATTGCAAAGATATCAATAGTAAAAAAAAAAAATATAATGGTTATTAAAAGAATTTAAAATTATTAGAATTAAGTTTATTAGGATTTTCTTTAAGCATTATTTATAATAAATAAGTTGGAAGTAATATTTTTAATTTTCTATGTAAATATATTTTATATTTTATGTTTTATATATTATAAATTTTATTTTTTAATAAACAAAATATTAAATATATTATAAATTCTAATTAAAAAAATTGTTTTATTAAATGCATTTTCTTAAATAAATTATTAGTCAATTTAAATCAAAATAATTATATTTTTACAAACAATTTAAAATGAATTATATTATCAATTAATACATATGAATTTAAATTGTAAATTTATTTTAAATTAACATTTTATTAGTTTATTTTTAAATTAAAATCTATATTATCTTTATTTAAAATTTTATTAGTAATTATCCATTTTATTTATTTTATTTTTTTAAATAAGTCTTATAATAAATTTTTTAATAAATTATTTTTTATTATTTTCAGTAAAATCAAATCTGAAATATGTTAATTATATAATCTATAATATGATGTTATTAGTAATGTTATCATTTAAATTACTTTTATTTTTAAATTTGTAATTTTTACTTTAGTAAATAATTTAATTTTTGTGACATAAGTAAACTTATTTAATAAATCAAAAATTCTTGTTTTATAAATTGTTATAATTTAAATCAATATACAGTGTCACCGGGAATAATCTTCTCTAGTTACTTCACGTAATTTATCTAAGTTCCTTTACTGCGGTAAGTAACTTCCTTATCGTCGGACTTTACAACCTTAGGG